ACTATAGGGTTAGAAACAATAAATTAATAGATTGCTAAGTCCCGCTGTCGTAATTAGGTCGCCTCGATAGGCTATTAGCAGGGTTGCTTACGCCTAGCCGATGTAATATATTAAAATCAAACCTAGCGAGGTAGACGGCCTATCTAGCCTATCGACCTATAACTCTAGTAACCTTAGTAATACTACGGAGGTTGTTATAGTCTATATAGACCTATATCGTATATTAGGCCCTATCGAGGTAATGCCTCTAATACTTAAAGGCCTCGATAATAGCTAAGAGCTCTTGCTCGTAGGTCTCGTAGCGACGCTTAGCATCGATTATCTTCCTCGAGAAGAAGGCAATCGGGTGCTAGTAATAGTTATTATCTAATTGCTAGGATATAATAGCCGATATAGCGAACTGTAAAGCGTTAGTCTTAATTCGGATCTGCTTATTTAGTACAAAATAGTATAACAAGGGGACTTTAGTAAAGCGCTGCTTTAAACCGTTAAAAGCGGCTTATACTCTATTAGTCTATTTGAACTCTCTAGTCGGGTTGGCCTTAGTTTTAGTAAGCTTAGTTAGTAGCATTACATGCCTCGAATAGCCCTTAATAAATCGGCGATAGAAGTTAGTAAAACCGAGGAACGACTACAGCTCCTTAATTAACGTAGGAATAGGCTATTTAGTAATAGTTTTAATCCGATTAGGATTAGCCTTAACACCCTTAGTTAATACGAGGAAGCCGAGGAATAATATCTCTTTAGCAGTAAAGGTACATTTAGAAGGCTTGCAATACAAGCTATAGGCCCTTAGGCGATCGAGTACCTTACGGACTATAGCCTAGTATTCCGCAATATTAGGAGAGTATATATAAACTAGGATGTTATCTAGGTAAACTATATAGAGGTAATCTAATAGGCCTAATAGGGCCCGATTAATATAGGACTAGAATGTAGTAGGGGCATTAGCTAGCCTAAATAGTATAACTAAGTACTTAAAATAGCTATAGCGAGTACGAAAGGCTGTCTTCTATTTATCGCCCTTACGAATATAGATGCGGTAATAGGCGTCCTTAATGTCTAGTATAGTATAGTAGTAGGTACTAGAAAGGCGATCGAGAGTCTTATTAATAAGCGGAAGTAGATAGCGGTCTTTAATAGTAATAGCATTAAGTCCGCGGTAATTAATATATAGGCGTAGGCTACTATCCTTCTTTAGTACGAATAGGATAGGGGCGCTAGCAGGGCTGTTACTATACTATATCCGGCTATTAGCTAGGTTTTCCTCTAGATACTTACGTAATATAGTAAGCTCCCTTTTACTAAGGTTGTAGAGTAGCCTAAAGGGGACCTCTTTGCCCTTTATAATATTAATCTTATAATCCGTCTCTTTAAATATAGGCAATGTCGATGCTAGGTAGTGTTTAAACACATTAATATAGGTCTCTCGGATAGGCTCTAGTATGCGAGCAAGCTAATTAGGATTATTAGGGGGTATAGGTTTATCGTTATTACTACCGAGTAGGTCGGCCGTCGGATCGGCTAGGGTTAGGTTACTAATAAATAGGACCCTAATATTATTAGGGCACTTGCTAACATTAATGTATTTAATGTCCTCTTTCCTAGCGATTCTAAATCGCTATTATTAACTGCCTAAGTCTATAACTATAGTATAGTACTTAAGAACAGGGTTGCTAATAATAATGTTAGATAGGAGGCTGTCTATATCTACCGCGTAGGTAGTAAAGTTTAGTAGGCGCTTATTGCCGAGGTCGTCCTTTAGGGCTATATAGACATAGTAGGCCCTATAGGTTAAGTGCCGAGCGTTATTAAACTAAGCAAGGGTTAGCAGGTTAGTCCTAGGAAGCTGGAGAAGGTCTAATTGCTTAGCTAGGCGATAGCTAATAAG